GGAGTCCGACCCACAAGCTGATCAAGTTTGTTCCAGTTCATCTACGGTCCACCCGTCGGCTGCAGCTGCAGCAGCGGCGGCGCCAGCAGCTGTAGCAGCGTCTGCAGGTGGCTCAATCAACTTTGACGTACAGCCTGTTGTTCTGGTAAGCCGGCTCACTACCGACGAACTCTGTCGGTTTGCATGCAAGATCAACAATAACAGCAGCTGCTGCAGTAGCTTGAAAGAGGCGAAGCGAAGTCAAAACCGTCGGCGCCAAAGGGAAAATCGTTGCCATAACAAAAACAGGACCGAACGCAAGGCGAAAAAAAGCGCTCTATCGCTTCCAGCAGCAGCAGCAGCAGCAGCCACAGCTGCAACTGTAAACAAAACTCCCACTAGCGATAATAAAAGCAGCATTAATAATAAACGGAGCGCATCTGGCAGTCGGCGTTCAGCAGGAATCGGCAAACGTGAGCGCCGGCGTCGACGGAACGTTGCCAATATCAACGGCGGCGTTGGATCGGGCATTGATCCCGTTGTCATCAAGTTCATCAAGGAAAACTCGAATTCGAGTGACGGCTTCAGTGAATGGAGCGTCCGAGATGATACTGTAAGTAGCAGTTCGTCGAGTATGAGCAATCACAGCCGCTACAGTTACAGTTCATTGGCGACGAGCGAAAGTCGACTTTCACCAGCAGCAAGTTCGAGTGGCCGTAGCAGCGATAGCCGACATACGAGCTTGGAGACCGATACGGAGCCATACGCGTCCGAGGAAGACGACCGCGCTACCGTTAAATACCCTCCACCCGTGCAGTGGCGAGACGCTGAACAGCAATCGAAGCAAGAGAGGCAAGACGAGGAGACGACGTGCCAGAGCGAAGTAGCTAAGGAGGTAGAAAGAGACGAACCCCAGCAGCACATAGAAGACGACCAAAGTAAAGCGACGGGAGAGGCTGAGACCCAAGTCTCTACCCCGCCGAGGACAAGCACCTTCACTCATAAGGAGCAACAACTATCGAGAAAGGAAAGGACCGGCTCCTTTGTGCCTCAGGAAAAGGTCGAGGAGACAGGTAGCCTAAGTAAAAAGGAGACCACTGTTCCCGGAGCAAAAGCAGCTGTTGCTGCCACCGATTCCGCCAGAAGTAGCAGTAACACCATAAAGATTACTGCGGGTTCTGGGAGTGTCAATCTGGCCGGCAAACTGGGAAGCGACGGTAGAAAAGAGGCGGCCGGCGACCCCTCTCTGAAGCCCGCTAAAGATTCGCCGAAGGTCGTTACGAACGACGTGAAGATTGAAAAGACCGATAGCTCCCGGGTCGGTTACGGGTCTTCGCCGGCGCTGGACTGCAAAGACGAGCCGGACGTGAAACGACTTAAGATGGCGGAGGGCGAGGAGATTGATAGTCGGACAAAAGAGGACGCCACGAAGGTTTTACGAATTGACAAAGTCGAGAAAACCGAACTCAAGGAGGAAATAAAGGAGGCAGAAGATAGGACGCAAAAAAACAACAAGGTCAAACTCGAGGAGAAAATGATGGTAGAAACAAAGACTGAGGGCGAGGTAACTTTGATCGGAGACGATCTTCACGATAACGAAGCTCAGCCGCTTGACCAGGATAGCCTTGATCAGGTTAGGCACTTTGACACAGATTTTACCCACAATTTTATGACAGGTAATAATAACTCGCCATTAATGTAGACAGAGAGAGCAAAAGGAATAAGAGAGAGAGAGAGAGAGAGAGAGAGAGAGAGAGGTATGATGATTAAACAGCCAAGTACCCATCTTTAATGCTTTTACCTTAAAAGGAACGGCAGCATTATGCTCATGTAAATATCAATTCATAATTAGAAATATGTCTATGATTACCACGATAATACAGTTGTTTTCTCAGTTGATGAAAATTAGACAGTTTGGCTAACAGCAGTATTTTGTCGTGACGTTTGCCGCTAAATAAGCGCTCTTTTCTCTCATTATATAGTCCTAGATCGATGATTGACAGACCCAATACGCATCAGGTTCCTGTCAGTCAACCGCAACTATTGGCTCCATGATATTTCATCAGAATTTACAGGCAGATGTAGAAGAATTTGTTCCAAAATGATAAGTAATTATGGAAAAAGTACTTCGTTATAGTAGAAAGGTCTTTACCGACTTTTAATGGGAGCAGAGAGATGGTTATTTATTGCGGCACAAGCAACTATCGCAAGGTTCTATATGCAGTTATTGTTCATATACATCGAGCAAATGATATTCACTCAGTATAAGACTGCATTTTGGAGCGAAAATCAACGGATGGCCATCTTTGTTGGCTGTGTTCGTTTCGTGTTGAGCTGAAGGTTGTATGACTGTTTTGTTAACGGCTTACCACAGGTACAAAAAAATGCATTTTTTAAATGATGCCTCTAACTCTTTTTTTTTGTATTTATGTTTTCCGTGCTTTCAACGTCTCTTCTGATAACAGGTGGTCAACGCCGATGAGGATGGTGTGATGATGGAGGAAGGCGAAGCCATTGTTCCCTGTATTGATGAGGAACCAGCCGTCCGTTGTGGGAAGCGCGCCGAACTCGAACTCGATCTGTATGCCAGTTTAGCAACGATAGAGTTGATGTCAGGCGCACATGAGGCGGAGGCTGAACTTGTTAAGACGTACACTGAGGAGAAACACATTGACAAGCTTGTCAATGATATTTTGGATCGTCAGGTATTTTTTCTGGTGGTAACGTAAATCGTGCTTGTGACAAAGTAGATGAACGCAAAAAACCGATTTAATCTAAACGTAAAGAAATTACCACTGCTATTTCTTTGCTAGGCAGAAATTAATGTACAAACAAAATGCATGGTTTTCAATAAAACTACGTGTATACTGAGTTGACATAGTTCCACATTTACACTCAAATTAAAAATGGTAATTGTTTTTTTATTGACACACGTGTTGTATCATCTGTGTTCCCTGATGTCATTAATTGATTTTTCAGGTGTCCGATGAGGCACGAAAACTAACAGTAGCGTGCTTAGAGGCTAAGGCGGAAACGGTTACCTGTATTTTCCGCTTATTGCGCGAGGTCTCTCTCGCAATGCAGCCCAGCAGTAATGGCGATGTACTCACAAAAATCATTAAACTCGAGAATATTCTCCGAGAGCTAGTCAAACATTATCGTATCGAGAAAGATCCTATAGAGTGAGTATCGAGTACGATAATTCGTACAGATCGATACAAGATTTGCCTGTGCACTATTAACCTCATTTAGACTGTTTATTTCTTGAGACAATTGTTCAGGCTTATCATCTTCCTATATTGAGCAGGTGATAGATATAGTTTAGCTGCCATTTTTCTATGTTTCCGTCTTAGGTGCTTTAATTCTAATGTCGTATATATGTTTGTATTCGGGGCAATTTGTTGTGTGGTTTCAGGGTCTCCGATATGCCTTGCCTGACAGGGCAACGAAAGACTGCTGATGATATTGCAAAACTTGAGCACACTCCTAAACAACAGGAATACCTCGGACTACGTATTGAACCTCCTATGCCACCAAATACTGGCCTAGCACCGGTCCCCGCCCCGGCGCCATTTAAAGACCTCCAAAATATGGTTCAACACAGCAGCGGGCAAGCCGGCGGTATGCAGATAGCACGACAAGCGCCGCCACATCACGGCCTGCTACCAGGTGGACACCACCAGCAGCAGCTTATTGTCGCTGGCGGAAATCCCAGCGCTGTCGCGCCATCAGCAGCAGACCACGCCCTCCTGAGACAGAGTCTGGGTCAGAGTCTGGGCGCCCAGTTGAGTCAGCGACCAGCCTTTCGTGTCCCTCCGCCGACTGAGCAGCAACTACTGCAAGCGGCGCAGATGCGCAACTTTGTGCCACGACCTCGGCCGATTAACTCAACTAAGTACCAACCCTATCCGTCTGCCAGCCCGCAGCAAATAGGACGAATGGGGCCCCATCATCCTAATCAGCCGCAGCAACAGGCGCACGCACAACTACAGCAAGCCCACCACCATCAGCAGCAACAGCTGCAGCTGCAGCAACAGCAGCAGCAGCGACTCGCTATACAACAACAACAACAACAACAGCAGCAACAATTCCACGCGCAGCAGCTCGCGAGACAAAACCAGCTGCGGCTCCAGCAACAGCAACAGCAGCAACAACACCTACAGCAGCAGCAGCAACGGTTGGCACAGCTTCAAGCACAGCAACAAGCACAACAACGACAGTTCGTTCTCGCTCAACAGCAGCAGCAGCAGCAGCAACAACAGTTGCATCATCAGCAACAACAGCAGCAGCGGGTAAGGAAGACTAAATATCGGATGTATGAAAGTAATACATTAAAGTTTCAGAGTTGTATATTTGCTCAGATGATCATTTTCCATAGTATTATAGTGTACTACTATGTAGTTTATAGGTAACAAGGGCAACGAGGTTTAGTTGTCGTCAGTTGCTTCATAATTGCGCGCAACAATTCGAACACCTTCGATTCTTCATTGATCTGATTAATTTCATCTTCTTAGTTCGTAAAATCTCGCGTACATTGTTTTTGAGCACGGTGGCGCTTTGGAAGTTGCGCTCCTCTGAGTATTCACGCACATCCATGTGCGAAGACCGCCTTTCTTCTGTAGAGCATAGCACATATTTGCGGACACTCACCCGGACTAATATCCTGTCGATGCCGTCAGTTGCTCGCTGCATGGCATAGCATGTCGTATACAAATATCTGAGTTAGTATGCAACAAAAACTGCGTATTAACATTAAAGCGTTCATGCGTGACAACAATAGGACTTGAGTAAAATATAATTTCGGCAATTATCCCACTTAACGGTGTCGGGGTATTATGCTCTATACTATCCTGCCTGCGTTAATAGATTTGATTTCAGCCAGAATAAGAGAACAGACTGAACCGGGGGTGGTTGAGGGCTAGTAAGTGGGCTGGTGTGAGTGGGGAGAAGTGAGCACGCCACGCCACAACCACCCGTGAGAGCATGTGCTTGACATTAATTATGATCTCTATATTGCTACTCTTTATATAGGTTTGTACACGCATAATATAATTCGCACACGACAAGAGAAGTTTTTGACAATCCTCAACTAGAAAAAGTTCGAGTGTTTGCATGGAACGCGTACAATGAACCGTTGCAGAGTCATTCTCCTACGCAAGCTAAAGCTAAACAGTTTATCTTCTTTTTTTCATAGTACTAACATTGCTGCAGCGCCATTAAGCAGCTGCTAAAAGATGATGACAACGATGAAGTTATCCTAGAGTGGTGAGGCAAGATTACAGAATGCAGATGAATGAAAAGATGTAAATCGAATTTTGTTTCATGAAATCATTAGATAGAAATTTTTAACGTAGGGAAAATTTAGCCATTTGAAAGGTCGATAATGGCGGTGGTGTGCTGAGTCGAGCGATGTGTTTTTTTGCTGATTGAAGTGATGAATGAAATGAGTGACGTGGCTAAGACAAAGTTGCCTTTGGGTGGCTGTTGGTGGTTGTGTTGTGGTGTTTGTATTGTTGTCGTTGTTGTGGTGGGCGTGCTCACTGACTCTCCGCCAGGTGGGGCCATCTGCTGCCTCCACTGCTTCGGTCGGCCCGCAGCAAATGATGCAGCATCTCGCCAGCATGGCACAGAAAGCCCGCACGGCTTCCGCCTCATCTAACTCTGCAACAACTACCTCTACTAAACCTTCGCACGCCGTCGGTAGTAGCAGCACAATGGCACGGTCGACGCCCACCGGGCGTCTACCGGCTAGCATTGCTGCTAATATGGGCGGCAGCAGCAGCAGCAGCAGCAGTTCTGTCGCTAGTGGATCCTCAGAAAGGGTCGGTGGAGGCGGCCTGACTATTGGTGACTACAAGAAGAATAGCAGCAGCAGTAACAATCATCACAGCCACAACAACAACAACAACAACAACAACAACAACAACAACAATCTTCATCAGAGTATCTCGAAGAACAACCTTGTGTCTTCGTCGTTGCAGATCACAGCAGTATCGTCGCCAGCCAGCGCAAAGGCACCGCCCGCTTCGTCGCCGAAACCCGCCGCGACGCCAATCAGCCTTCCGGCCGGCCTATCTATTACACCGGTAAGCTACATTACTATTGAGCCATATTGCCGTACCAAGAATTTCCGAACACTGTGCAGCCTACTCATGCGCTAATGCATCAGATCCTTGTTGTTTGAACGATCAGTTCGGCCTTGAACACGTGTGCCACTCATGTTTAATATCAGATTTTATGAAACATAAGCCCCTCGAAATAGTACTTCTATAATAATCTTGTTACATTGCCTTCTCCACTCCATTTGACCAGCTGGCTCCTCCGAAAAAGCCCGACATTCAGCTGCCAAAAGATATCGAGATGATTCCTATTCAGCAGAAGGACGCAGCAGCGGCGTTGCCTAAACTGCCACCTGGCATTACTCTCACTTCAGTGCCCGGTCAACAGACATCGTCGTCGTCCTCTTCGCCCTCATCCTCAGGCTCTTCACAACAACAGCAGCAACAGCAGCAGCAGCAACATGCTAAGGTAGCGCTTGCCTCCTCGGTGGCGTCCGCGTCACCACAGCAAACTGTTACGGTAGCGCAACAGCTCCAGTTGAGGCAGCAACAGCAGCACCAGGGCTCAGGAGTCGCCGTACAGCAGGTGTCTATTCAGCATCAGCCGCAGAGACAGCAACAACAGCAGCAGCAGCTGTCAGTTTCTGGTGGAGGTGCAGCCGTTGTCCATAAGATGATGATGCAGCAAGTGCCGACTGGACGAGGTGTCGCCGGAGTCCAACAGCAACAGGTAGTCGATCAACGGCAGCAGTTGGCACTTCAACAACAGCAGCAACTGCTGCGTCATCAGCAATTGCAACAGCAGCAGCAACAGCTACAGCAGCAGCAGCAGCAGCAGCAGCAGCAACAGCAACGGCAATTGGCATTGCAGCAGCAACAGCAACAGCAGTGGCGGATACAGCAACAGGCTCAACAGCAACGAATACAGCAGATCATGCAGCAGCGCCAACAGGCTGCGCAGCAACAACAGCTTCAGTCGGCGGCAGCTGTCGTTGCTGCCGCCGCCGCTGCCGCTGGCGGCCAACAACCGCAGCAACAACAACAACAGCAGCAGCAGCAACAACACTTCTACCGGATTAACAACGCTACACAACAAGCTGCTCAGCAACAACACGCCGCTGCCCAGCAACGGTGGCAACAAGCGCAGCAAGCACAACAACAGCAACAAAGACAGTTTTATCAGTGAGGTTGGATGAGAGAAGCATTCGCACAATATTGTGTGAACAGGAAAGGGTAATTGACGTACTTATAGAGTATTTTAGTATGTGACATAGTACATGTACAGCGAAAAGGAGATAGGCGGAAAAAATCGACACATAATAACTTGAACTAGATGCACGAACAGCAAAAATGAACAGGAAAGAGAATAAACAGAAGACCCTTGTTTACAGTGGTTCGAGAAAAATATATGTAAAAATGTGAAACGTTTTGTGGAAGGGTGTTGTTCCGCGACGTGGCTCTGCTTAGCCACCACGGGACGCTGCAGGTGCGGTAAACTGATGATGTTGGCTGGGAGAAGTCTTCTAGGAGAAGATTCCGCATTGGTCTTCCGGCAAATGTCTGCTGTAAAATATGTGCAAATGGGACTCCAATCCCGTATCTGCCTGCACTAAAGGGTTTTTCCGATTTTTTTCTTCTGCCGGAAGGAGGCAGGGCGGTCGCAATATCAACGGAAAACAGAGAACAGCCGTCACCAACAGTAGATAATCGTCTAAGCCATGATGAACGTATACGCAAGTCACGTATGGCAAGCAGTAAGACCTTCGATGTCGATAATAAGAACAATCATAAGACCGGCTCAAAATAGTCGTGCTTACGCCCGTAAAGTGTGATACAGTGAGTGAGATAGTAGGAGTACGATGTAGCGAAGAACAAACGGGTCACGTTCACATGCGTTGCCATGCGCAGTGTTGAAACTAAGGGCCGATTTTTGTCAACAATCATGATATGGAACGGACTCAAGTTGTCACGCAAGCTATTACACGTCTGTACGCATTGTACAACGAACGGATCCCACAAATTGTAAAAACTTCTAGGTACATAAATAACGATGAAGGAAAATGATGAACTGACTGACTGGGTGAATTCGTACCGGACAGGTGTAGAGATAAGGCTCGTATGAGTCGTTATAGCTAAAGGAAGTGGGAACTGGTATACAGATTACTACTCATGAATACACAATGAGACAGAATTAACATGATGGATGCCGTGATCTACAGACGCCGTACTGAAAATAATGTTATCACCCGCGGCGGTGAGACGATAGACTAACCATTGCAACGAGTCGAACAGGCTAAACGGTGCACAAAAGCTGAATGAATAACAGAGTATGTAGATAGTTACGCTTGTAAAGGTTGGGCGTGTGTTTGAGCAAAACTAAATGTATGTATGTACCTAGGGGTTTCTGTGTGGGCGTGTGAATGTGTGCGTGCGTGTATGTTTTTATGAGGGTATGTTGTATGCATTTCGGCAAAAGAAAAAATATAGGACGAAGAGAAACGAGGATATGAGTTTCAAATGTGATGATTGCGCTTCGATAACATCGTTTTCGTATTTCGCTTTGCCTTAATGATTGATGAACTCCGGATGGTTGAAATAATTCCTGGGCAGACATAAATATCTGACAAAAGAAACAGTGGGTAAGCAGGTGTGCGTATATATGGGTTAAGGAGCGATGTCGACGAAGGGCGCCAACGATAATAATGATAATAATAATATTAAGTTTGAGGAAGTGTAAGTCAGTACAGCCGAAAAGGGAACTGCTCGTACAACGGAATACGTTTGTTTTGCCGACTTCTGTGCAGTAGAGCAACATTGCCAAGCCTTGAAACCCCAAGAAATTTTGTGACCCATCATTTGGGTTCTGCTTATTTTAATGGCCATATTCGAATAGCGATGGCAATAATGTAATTGATATGCTTACACAATAGCTGCTTATATAATGTGGCAATACATCCGACCTAAATTAACACGAATTAATAGATTATGCTCAATTTTTTTCTCTGCTAGTTTTCAAACGGCGATCTCCTATTTTCTTGATTTTGTGATGTTTTGTTCATTCATTCATTGAGATACTGCATTTTGTTCCATGAAAAAATCATTTATCTGGATATTTCATCATTTGCCTGGATGAATGAATGAATGAATGAATGGCTCTAATCTTGAGGTTGAAATATTTGCCAATAGGCCTGGTATTGATGTTGTGGGATCTGCGGAAATTATAAATAATTTCTTGTCTTAGTATGCAGCAAACACTGTATATGTGCCGTCTGTCTCCGTAAATAGCAGCGCCTTTAAAAAAAGAGTTCAACAATTTTGCGGCAAGTGCAAGCAATCCGTAATTCCCTGTGAGTGCAACAGAATAGCCTTAACTGAATTTAGTTTTGTGTGATTAATTATTGATAGCAAAGTGCCCAAATAGAAGCTTACGATAAGGAGACACTGAGCACGAGTATCTTCTGAAATAAATCGGTTTAGGGTGTCCGGTCCCAGTGGCTTTAATAGCAGTATATAGTAGAGATCAAGCTAGTAGTAATGGATTGAGTTGGCCAAATTAAAGAAATACTAAGTAAACGCAGGCGAAGGTTGGCGACAAGTATCAAAATGTTAATTTAGCCTTAGTGCTTGACTTTTTTTTTTATTAACAGTAATCTAGCTTCACTATAATTAATGTTGCTCTACGATAATTATCCTTTGTAGAATAAACTACTTCTGTATATTTCTGTAAATAAAGCTATATTTATTGTGGATACACAATGAAGATTTATTGAAGTTGTTTTAAATTACAGGTAATAAGTAGATAGCTTAATATTACGCGACTTTGTTGTTGAACCTCGTCTTAGAAAAAGGAGGCTCTATAGTGTTTTTATTGAATGTTCTCATTAGACTTAGGCTTGCCACTTTCACTTCGATTTGGCACTAAGATTTTTTTAAGCGCAGCTTTATTGAAGTTAAAATAATTTCACATATCGTCAACAAGTATCAATTTGTACGTGCAGCAGTTACGGCTACGAAGGAATTTTTTCCGCATGTAAGGCTAGAACGTATCACAAAGCTAAACAGTGTTCACAAACCTGATTATTTTAAAGTTGTTTGAGCCTCGTGGTGTTTAGCGAGCACCTACCCGTTGTTAGCGTCGTCGAGACTTTACGACCGCGAACAGAAGCCGCCTTTGAAAATGAAGTGCATAGATAATTTAGTGTTAACAAAACTCAAATGTTCACGAGCCACGCGAGGCTCAGAGAAATTAAGTAGTAAGCCTGACGGAGGTCAGGCCCCGACTTGTGTGAGCTTGGACGGTTCACCCTTACGAGTAAAAGGAGATCGGTCAGCGTTGCTTTGCCTTCGCGAGCCATGTGTGTAAAAGTCGCGCATGTGTGTATATGTATGGGATTGCTATTGCGCCATGTACGCTAGTCAGCTATTGCGACGGCCAGAAAAGTGGGACACTCGGCATATATTACTTCAAAACAATAAAATGAAGCGCAGGTACAGTGATGTTCATTGCCGAGTCGATAATATGGGTAGATCTCAAATGGGTCAGATAGGCTATTCGCTCGGTGAGCCGCCAACTGTCTACAGGGATCGGTTGCAACGACTATCGTGCAACAAAATAAATATTCCGGGATAGTCCATAAGCAGTGTCGGAACATATTGTGCTTCGAATGAAGTAAAAGATTGTACTCCGAAATTTCGTGAACTTTGTGACTGTAACCGAACTTGCCTTGAAACATGACGTAAACATGGCTTAGCTACTGAACCGTTATGCCAAATTAGACTGTCTAGACGATTTTAATATAGGCTATTCAATATTTTGTTATTCGATCAACCATCTTTTGAGCTCTATACGTACCTTGCAGCAGCTTCAGATGGTGGAATATCACGTCGTGCATGTACTAAATAGTAAAAAAAAAAAAAAAAAAAAACGGCTGTCAAGAATACTTGACCGAGTACACCGCCACGTTATTTTTCCTAAGCTGAATCGTTTGGACTTACATACGATTTTTCCTAAATGGCGCCACCGGTAATTTTTGGAAGGCATTTTCCTAAAACTACGCTATCGTGCTTGTTCTACAGAGTTTTGCTAGCACGTTATCATGATCAATGCTCCGAACCATTACCGAAGATTACCAGGAGCTGAAACGGCCACAGAATCGCGTCAATAAAGGATGCTGAATATCTGAACGGGGTCAGTGACTCTTTGAATTGATGTTAGAACCCTAAGAGAATAGATTTAGCCAAAATATGACCCAATGTTAATTTGTACTGTATTCCGATGTGCCTGAACGGTATTTAAATGAACACTGCATATTCAATAGTAATTAGATATTTTCGCTTATGATACGCATCTAATATCATACAAATGTGGGACGCTTATGCGAAAGAGGTCTCGTCGAAATTTTTATTGCCATGGTTGACCAAAGGGCGGTTGTTTTCGAAAATTGACTTCATATTGTGTATTATACTTCTGCGTGTGTTATACAACGTAACAAGAGTTTGGGCCAACTTTATTGGGTATTCCATTTTGAGCTTGTTCCATCAGTAGAATAACCAGCATACAGATGAGCATGAAAGGAAACTTGTACGAGACTAACGAGAAATTGACAAGTTGCAATAACTTCGATACAATAGTTCACTCACATAGCTTTCGTGGGGTAAGATAGATATTTATCTTTTGGTTGGGATGAAACAACTACGGGATCACTACAACGGAATCGTTGGAAACGGCCGAATGGATAAATGTGTCAAATTCATTTATAGTGTTCTATAAGCTCAAAATGCTGAGCTGCGGGTAACGTCATTTAACTGTCGCATGTCTATTATACATGAATCGCAAAGAAGATGATTGTAAATAGCCGTACTGTACCATGATGGGGTAACTGCGTCAAGTTAGCGTTGTACAACGTTTGTGTTTACACCCTGAGCATCGGCACTGGGACTAGTTAATCTGACCCGTTAACGGCTGTCGATTAAGCACGATTTATAGGCATGAACTAAACAGTAAAATAACTGAAGGGCAAGAGGCCTTGAATCTAAGCCCCGCCATATATGAAGAACCATTTTGTTAGTTTGTGTAGAAATCGAATTTGTGTAAACAAATGGGATACTACTGATATATATATATATATATGGCGCTCTGAGCAAATAAATACTTGCATTTCGTTATATATACATGCACGCACACATTCTGAGAGAACTACGACGCCTATTATCGTGACAAGCGGCAGCATCGTCGTCGTCATTACTAACCGGCGAACTCGTTAGAAAGCTCCCATACATCCGTCGCTATTTATGAATGAAATCCTTATTAATGAAGCAGACGGTAATATTTTGTGATGCTAAACATGACGGTACGGTCTCGATGGTGGCGTAGTCGGTAACAAGTTCGCCCGCTGAACTTAAGGGACACGCAGTTGTTCCAATTGGAGTCCGACAGCTTTGTTTCATGTTGGGAGCCAACCGCTCGATGGAATGCCTATCGGATGCTACCGAGCATAGTACTCGAAACGAGAGGAGAGGATGAATGACAATAAAATATCATTATCATTTTCGTCGTCTTGTATTTATATTTAATATTCGATAGAAAGGTCATAAGGTCGTGTAAGGACTATGCACAGACCTTGATGATCCAGCTGACAGGAGAAATGTGGGAATGTACAAACGGTAAGGTTATTGTAGCGATGAGAAAAACCGCAAGGCTTCCTATTCGTAACTCGCGAAGAGGGTTGGCGTAGCGATGGTCACGGGTGAATATATTGAGCAATGTGCCACTAAGCTTTCAATATACATTATTTTTTATGCATTCATTAGTGCAACATATCTAACAACATGGTTCAATTTCAGACACTTTACCAAATGTAGTGGTTCCTCTGTGTTCGGCCATGTGCTGAGTCGTCGTCGTCATCACCACCACCATTATGCTTCGGCTAAGATTCGGCGACGTAATGAATATTCTAAATAAAACCTTAATAAAGCTTGACTGCGCGATCTTTCAAATTTTCAGATATCGTGCAGCTTAATTTATGTAGCAATACAACTACGAAACATGCATTTAGAACGTGCAATACGAATACGTTATGTGAAATCTATCGATCTAATTTATTCTTCAACTACGCTTTAAAAGAACAGGGAAGAATTGTTTAAAATAATATTGATCCTAAATATATTTGTCTTATATTAATGTGGATTTGGCGCTGATGAATAAAGAGAATTTCGATTTATAAGGCAGTTTAAGTTCCAGTTTCATACGCAGAAAATCTTCTATCTAAAAATATCTAACAATACTAATCAAGTGCTCATTTTTCGTTTCTATGGCTTTACTGATCCATCGTTGCAGACGCCCAGAAGAGAATTTACTCGGAACAAGATGAAGGCCATCTCGAGCCATATGCGCTCCCCCGGAACGAAACAACGAGTGAATGGATCTCTATTCCTAACGAAGTTGTACCTGTACTGTCCTTTGATATTCCGGTTCTTGCAGATGATCGTAAGCGATGCACAACCGAATTTCACACACGCAGGAGGGTATGTGAGAGTCATTTAATTAGCCCCGTTTAAATTTACTTTGGATGCTGTTAAGACTATCTGTAGAGCTCGTCAATTAAATACACTTAAGCTTATCTAATTAATTACCAACAATTACTGATAGCGCTACACAGAAAGATTGATACTTGCTACTATAAAATATGTTATTTTTCGAGTTCTCTTTTCGTGATAGTTCGTGTAACATTATATTGCACCGAATTGAGGCACTTCACTTTGGACAGAACAAAGCAAAGAACCTCAGTTGTCGCATAAGTTTTCGAAGTTTCGAAGTTCCTGATTTTAACGCTCAAGGACAACTTCGGGCCGAATGTTGGCAGGCACTCGGTTCTACCATTGTGCCTCTGTTGTTCTGAGAGCACGGCTGCAACGATGGCTGTATTGAACTTCTATTTTCAGAGAAATTGCGTTCTGGTTTCATCTGAGGTAGTCAGGTATTTTGGATCGAGGCATGGGAGATCAATATGACAACTGCTTTTTATGGGCTGATAACTTAGTTGCTTAGAAATGGTTAAGACACCGTAGCTGCACCACTCTGAGCCGGGAAACCGGTTGATGTGCATATGAACCAATTGTGGGCAGCCTGGCGGTAGTTGATGTGCCTAGTGGCAAAGAACAACTAATACTCTAATACAACTTTGTCAACATGGATAACGACTGCGTAGTGTGGCCTTTCCTAGAGAGTTTTTGGAAAGCTGGCAAGAGTTTGTGTTTTGGCAGGTTTGCGGAGGAGCTTCGCGACGTAGCTGCTACTTCTCATCTAACCGCGTGGCATGAAGGGTGGCTCCAACTAACTTTACTGCGGAGTCTATTTTGATGTGATGGTTATCGAGTTCAGCGGACGTCAAAGAGGTTGTGCACCGAGGCATACGGACTTCCTATGTCTAAGCCTTTCGTGCTCCTTCAAGCACTTCTAAGTATAAGAGAGAAGTTGAGAATTAGTGCGTCGTGGTGACTGCGGAAGTATATCCAACCGTCCCCACATCTAGCTCACATACACTAGGCTGTTGACTGACGGTACGTAAACAATGTTGTCCAACACCTTAGAGAAACCCTGCAGGAGAAGAGCGGATGTGCAGGTTACGAGCTTCTAAGAGTGTTTTGTTCAGAGCCTCTGAAACGCTCTAGGAACTAAAAGAATGAAGATGAATAAAGATGTTAAAGTGCGAGACCATTGCATAAGATGTGTAGCAGTTGATATAATGGAAAAGTGAAGTAAAGTGA